TGCAGGGATGGAGAAACATATGGGAAGGCTGGTGGGGTGGGGAGGCATCTCTGACAGAATGAGTTTTCAAAATCATCAGGAACTACAACACAAACAGTGTGCCACAGGACACCATCTGGAAAAACGGCCTTCCAAGTTCAAAAGAAAGGAAAACAACTTAGCATTCAATCTACAATGAAAGTTTAGATGATCATTAAAAGTTACATGCTTAAAATTAACTATTGTGTGATCGACACCACTGTGTGGAGTCTTTGATTCAAAGAGTTCTAGGGCTGTACCTTTGTGAGTACACCGTCAGCTGCCTACAGTAGATGAGTTTTGATTCTTATTAGTAAATATGTTACTATTATTCAGCCTATCACTACATTTCATCCTTGCAACAATTTCATGAGCTGGGTTAGGGCTTTGCTATTTACATGTGATGAGAAAAATGAAGGCAAGTGATGTGCCCAATGTCATACAGATAGTTAATGGAAGAGGGTGCCCTACATGTCCTGTTTCTTGGCTTAATTTTCTTTCTATTTCACTATTTGGTCTTGCTGCTTTAGAAATCACAGAAAGCGTGGATACTTGTAAGCAAAGGAAGAGCACTTACAATATGGTATATATTAGAAACTAGGTTTTATGTTAAATCCCCACTCAGTATACAAGGCCCTCTTCTTTATGGGCAAAACAACCTCTCCTAAACAGTTAATGAAACGAATTAGAGCAACTCTCTTTCTTATAATTTCAAGTCACATAGACACCCTGTTTTCGATGAGATAGCTGAAACGAACCATTAAAAGCACTTTTTTTTTCTGTATGTTTTAGACTAAGAGAGTTAGTCATATGTCCAGAACACACAGGTTAGTGTTTCTCAAAATGTTAGAGGTATATGATCATGGTAAAATAGGTAATGAATGTATTGTTCTAGATAGCATGCAGGCTTGGTATTAAATATTGATGGTTTTCATAGTAATAAATTAATTTTAATTTTGCTTATATTTCAATCTTTCAAATTATATGAAGTACAAAATCTCGGTTTGATTATAGTTTTTAAATCTCTCCACATGTTCAAGATTCCATTTAAAACAAAGAGAGATTAGCCTCCAGCCTCAGAACTTTCAGCAGACAAAATTCACCAAGCTATAATTTATTGTATTATATTAAGATATGTAATATTGCATTATATTATATATATTGTATCTACCTCCTACTTATCGACCTCTATATTATATCTGTCTCCTATTTTGAATGAGTAATATTAAGTGTCCATTTACAGTAATGACATGAAATTTCCTTTAATATTCATTTAATTTAAAATGGAACTGGTTGAAATATTAAATAATGATATAATATGGCATTGAACAAAGTTTGGGAAATGCTGGCATTGGTACATTTTTGTCAAAAGTTAAACTAAAATAACTGGTTAGGAATGCCTTCTTGACCCATAAGTGTGGTCCTTTGAGAATGAGAAACAGAGAGAGAAGAGCAGCCCCTGGCAGCTGGGAACTGGCCTGGCATTATCACTGCGGATTTAATGTCACCAGGAGCTGCTGGCCTGGCACTCAAAGCCAGGTTAAGATGTTCTTCTTTTGAACATAAACAATTTCACGGCACACCAACATTGGACAAGACACTGTGTGACCACAGTGGATCAAGACAAAAAGAAGACATATCGCAAAAGACTAAACCATAAAAATAAACAAGAATCCCTATTCTGTCTGATAGGAATGACTGCTCCTTTAGGCTTGTTTTAGTCCTCCTATCTTCTGTATAAGATTTATAAAGATACCCAATCAGAGAATTACTCTTGCTTCCTGACAGCACCAAATCCAGGGCAAAGACCTACTTCCCTGAACCTCCCCCCACAAATCACCTATCACAAGCTCAAATCCCAGAAGTCTTTTCTAACACCATCATTCTTAGAGTCCATGGTGTGTGCTCCCTCAGTGCAATGAGCCAAAAAAACAAACTTGGTTTAACAAGAGGTATATTCTGAGCATTCTTTAACTAGAGAGCATTGATGTATTGCAGTAATCATGTTTAATGACTCAGTGCTGAAAAACTAGTCCTCAAAAATGAATTCATATTTGAAATGATCCTAATTAAAAAGATAGTATTTAGCACTTATAATTTTTTATAATTGCAATCTCCTTTTAGTCCCTCTGATGAACTGATGACTAACTACTTCAGGCCACTACTTCAGAGTGGACCACACACCCTGGGCTCACCCATGTTGTCCCTTCTCCCCTCTTAAGGCACTCCCATTAAGAATATGAGTGATGTGACAGCAGCTAGCAAATAATAAAATAACTATAACAACAATAACAATGACTATCATTTTTGCCTGTCAATTTTATGATAGATGCATTTTCCCAAATTTTGTCTCATCTAAATCCTTATTACAATCCTCTGTTCCCATTTAACAGACAAGGAAACTGAGGCTGAGAAGATTAAGTGATTTGCTCCAAATTACTAACCCAGTAAGGTAGCAGAGCAAGATTTGATCTAAAATCTGAAAAATCTCAAGGTTTATGCTTGTTCTATTCCCTCTTTCTGTCTCAAAGCTAGAAAGGTCAAGCTCAAACTCCAAAACTCACTAAGAGTAGGAAAAACTATTACATTTGGATCTGAATTTTTAGTATTACTTATACTATATTCTTATTTTGAATTGTTTAATAAAAATAGATGAAAATTGCTTAAGATACACAATACTAAGTAGCTGTGACTAAAGTAGAATATGAACAGTTTTTTCAGAGAATATCTACTGCTTATATTTAGCAGAAACATTAGTGAAAAAGTTACCCAACCTTACACATAATTACTGATGGCAGAGGATCAGATCCACTGACTAATGAAAGACTTTGCTTCTTTGTTCTCTTCATACACTTATTTTATGATACTCTCCAGTAGGTCTGACTAGTTTTAAGAAGCTGGCAACTAACCTGATTAATCCATTTATAGTACTGCTTCTCCAAGAACAGTTTTATCTTACCAGAAAAATCATACACAATACCAATAAAACACTCCTTTACAACTCAAAACAATCAGTCTAAAACATAAAATGTTTTTTGTTTCTACTATAAACACATACAGTGTAATTCTTATTTTTCAGGTCTACACTGGTTCACTGACTTGATTTATTTTATTTCCCCCAACGCCTGTGATATAGGTAATATTATGCCCATTACAGTGCCTAAAACATTAAGTAGTTAACCAAGATCACACAGTTAGCAGAGGACAAAGCTAGGATTTTAAACTGAAATTTCAAAAGTCAGGAGAGCAGCTGGACGGTGGAAAAATAGGGAAGGTCCCTAAAGGCAATCATTTACTGGCCTATATTTTAGGTTGATCCTGACCAAATGATATGCAAAGAACACACAAGAGGAGACTCAAAACTGGTCTTAGGACATCTTGTTTACAGTGTGACTTCATTGTACTTTAGGTGGCACGCTTGATGTGCAGCAGAATAAACCTGGAGGGAGGAAGGACATGAAAGTACAGAGTGCACAGCTCAGTGAAAAGGCTCCACAAGTCCTACTTCCCTTACCCCTGGCATATGGGAACTATATGTCTTAGTGCTGACTCGCCTGTCTGTCTCAATGCCAGGAAACCTGAATATGCTTGCATTCCAGAATATATTTGGATACATTGCAAACAAATGTCAGAGCAGGCATTACCTCCCCCTTCAACTAATGTACATTTGCAGGTCAAGAGGGTGATGCTGGAAAAGATTAATCCCTTGCTGAGCATTATCCATCAGAATGCTTTTAAATGTTGGCATATAGGCAGCTAATAGATTATATACCATAAACACAGCTGTTGGAAGAAAAAAGGCATTTTACAAGTCATACAATTAAAATCTCTAATCTCCAAAAGTACCAAAATAAGAGAAGGAGGTGGAGCAAGGAAGGACAAAAATAGAGCTTTTCTTGGAAGGGCTATGTGGCCCCTGGACGGTGCACTTTGGTTCCTGGTGAGGACACAGCACTCTTACTGAGCTCTGGGTAAAGCAGTACCAGAAAGCCTCTGGATGAGCAACACGTGGCAAAAGGAAGACAGATTTGAGAAAGGAGAGAAAAAGAAAATTTTATCTCAAACTTGTGTTTTCCATAATATATGTAGACATATTGTTGCTTAGTTGGAATACAACCACACAGCACTGGAACAACAACAGAAGTCTGTCCATACTAAAAATTTTTATTATCTTATGTAATAATTATAAAGAATTAAAAAGAAATGTCAGTAATGTAATTCTATTGTTCAGAAATAATACATTTTGTTATGTCTTCCGATTTTCTTAGTATTTGTATATACATACATACATATTTTCTGTAAGTTATGACCATACAGTACATACTATTTTATACATTATACTGTATGGCTGTATAGTATTTTGTCACTTGGATATGGCATAATTCATGTAACAATTCTATGTTGTTACATATTCTGGTGTTTTCTAATTTTCCAAATGATAAACAAATATCCTTTCATGTAAATCTATGTTATGCATTTCTGATAGAATAGAATCACCCAGGAAAACAGAATATTTTTAACATGCATTTATTCATAAAGTTCATAATAAAAATAATTTTAAATTATTATTAATGAACAGTCATGTTGGAATTTCAAATAAAATAGAAGAATCTAAAAATTAAATTGAAAGTTACCCTAAATTCCATCACTACTGTAATTGTGTTCAATACTTTTCTAGATTTTTTTATGCGTACATGTGTGTATGGGGAGTGCACATGAGATCATACTTTACATGCCCTTCTTAATCCGCTTTTTTCACTCTGCAATTTGTCATGGAGATCTTTCCCTATTGTTAAATACAGATGTATCACATGTTTAATGGATGAAAACAATTCCATTTTATGAATGGAGACTAATTTATTTAATCAACCTCAACAGATGAACTTTTAGTTTATTTCTAGTTATTCTCTCTTAAAATAGGGCTAAATGAACACATAAATACATAGAACTTTGTCTTTGTCTTTGGAATAAATTCTTTATAGTTTTACTGAGCTAAAGAATATATACGTCAGTGACGCCACCCCTCAGGCCAAAGTCTATCTCCACCTGTATCAGCTGGAGTCTGGAAAGTTACCTCCAAGTCCCTCCTTTCTGCTGGAGCCAGTAGATGAAGTATTTCTTGCCATTTCTAAAGCCATTGAAGAGATGGTGGAAGATAGAGTCTATTGCTATTGAATAATCTGATGCTTTGGGAACCAATTTAATAACAAGTACCAAGATTTTTTTTTATCCCAGCTTCCAAAGGCTTTTGAACAGTACTTGAATCTGGAAGATAACAGATTGCTGAGTCATCTGAAGAAGTGTTCTGCAAGGTCCAAACTACCTTATGATCTCCAGTTCAGGAGGTGCTTTGTGGGGTGCTTGCCTGTATCCACTTTACATAGGATTTGGGATAAAGTTGTAAATGGATGCTCTAAGATCCTAGTTTTTGTAGCTGTGGAAATTTTCTTAACCTTTAAAATAAAAGTAATGTCACTGAACAGTGCAGAGAAGATAACTGAGTTTCTGGAAAACATGCCCCAGGACAACTCAGACGTGATTATGAGCAAGTCCATCGGCTTATGGCGCAAACACTGTGGGACCCCAGTACATTCAGCCTAAATGCTCCTGATGGCTGTGGAGGGTCTGCCAGGCCTGTCTAGAGCATTGTGTTCTTGAGACATGATGTACTAACTGTATGAGAATAAGGCTCTTGCTTTGGTGCTCAAAGTGTAAATTTTTTTCCAGTGAATTATTTAAGACTTCCAGTGATGTGGTGTTGTGCAGCAGCACCTTTGGGTTACAGAGAAGTACAAAGTTCAGTTCTGAATAGTATTTTAAAAGGGTTCTTTGAAAATACCTCCCAGTTTTAAAATGGTTCAGTCAGGGCTCTTTAAAGAGCCGTATGTGACCAAGCCTGCCTGTTTATCTGTAATTAGCACCAAGCTAGTCACTTTCTAAGTTCCATTTCTACAATAAAGAACAACTTCCTTTTGTTGACAACTCAGATTTGGCTTTTTTGATAAAGTACTTGTTTAAATCTAAGCTTACTGTTTTCTGAGGCTTCATCTTGCTAAATAGGTTTAAACAAAGGCCTTTTAAAAAAAAGAATACATATACACACGTAGATGTGTGTGTGTGATATTGTGTGTTTGTGTGTATGTTTCCTGAGCTAAAGGATATATATAATTACATATTTATATTACTAGTCTATTTTATACAGAATTTATATTCTGTTAGATAGAAAACATCTCCAGTGCAGTAAGATGCCATTTGTTAAAACTTCAGCCAATGCTTTATATTACCAATATTTTAAATTTTTACTAGTTTGAAAGGTAAAAAAGTTATAGCTATTAGTTTCTTACAGTTACAGGAGCTCTTACAATGCTAAAAAAATTATTTGCTCTAAGATTATAAATACAAGTATAATATGTAACATAGCATAAGTATTATATAACGTAAAAGTATTATAAATATTTTCTTCCAACACTTATTTAACATTAAACACTGATAACAGCTGTAATGAATTCAGTGTGAGGAAAGAGGCACATATTCAAAATACATCTCCAACTTGCCGGTTAGTTCTCTAAACATCATTTATTGACAGTCTGTCCTTTTTCAACTCCATTAGTTTGGTGGAGTTGCCATAACAAAGTACCACAAACTGGCCAGTTTTTTCATTTTGTTTTCTAGGCAGTTATTGCTGGTATACAAAAACTTATTGGAGGAGGGATCTTGGGGTGTACTTTGACATTGTTACCAGTCTCATGTTGAACTCTTATGGACTTTCTTTCACTTTCCAGATACACAATCATACCGACCTGCATTAGCAAATATTCCACATTAATTCTGGGTTTTACTCTTCCTTTTTCTTTATACTTTCTAGTAACCTACATCTATGTCTTGGCTTAAAAGTGCTTTGTTTTTGTTAATATGGTTGCTTTTTTTGTGTGCAGACCATCCTGAGTAATTCTTCTAGAATTACCTTGTGGATTATAAAACTTCTAAGGCCTTGGAATACACTAAAAGTGTATTCATTCTGCATACACACTAGACTATCTAGGTAAAGAATTCTGTTTATCAGCACCTAGCATTGCCAGTGTGATGTCTGATGTTAATTTGATTTTTATTCCTTTGAGATGTGAAAGATCGTTGGGGACTTTTAAATTTTCTACTTCTCTTTGAAATTTTGAACTGTTGTCAAAATATGAATGAATGCATACATCAATTTAACTAATTCTGTTTTACATTTGGTGGGCCCTTTCAACCTAAAGATGAGTGAGTTTTTCAGCTCCAGAATTTTATTATTCTGTTTATTCATTAACTATATCTTATATTCATATCAACTATATGTATGCAAGTCTACATATATATTTAAATACTATATTTAAAGATGTACATAATTTTGAGCATATAGATATTTGCATATATATGTAATTATTAAGGTATACATATGAATGTTGAGTATGTATAATTTTATTATATTGAAGTTTAATTCATGTGACTAAATGCATAGATATTAAGTATATGGTGAGTTTTGAAAAATTCGTGACAGCAAGCAAGATATATAATATTTCTGCTCTGGACTGAATTGTGTCTCTGCAAAATTCACATATTGGAGCCTGACACCACAATGTGATAGCATTTGGAGATTGGTCCTTTAGTAGATAATCAGGTTTAATATTTAAATAAATTAGGTAATTTAGGTGGAGTCTTCATGATGGAATTAGTGCCCTCATAATAAGAGACACTAGAGAGCTTACTTCTCTCTTTCCACCCAAACACATCAAGCAAAACACGTGAGGACATAGTGAAAAGAGGGCTGTTTACCCAGTTGTCTTAAAACCATTCAGTATTATTTACCTGCAGACTATACCTGGATAGTCCTCTGAAACATAATCCAAATCTAAGCCTTTCTCAGCACCTAGATCATATTGTGTTCCCAGCCGTTCAACAACCAATGAGAACTTATATTACTAAGCCTATATTATAACGCACTGAACTAAATGCTAGAGACATTGGTAAGAAAAACATGTACTCTTGAACAACTGATCATCTGGTAGAGGAGAAAAACATACCCAAGGAAATTATAACCAAAACCACCTGATCATTAGAATCACCTGGGTTGGCTGTTTAAAATACAGTTTACCAGGTTCTATTCTTGGTGATTCTAATTAAGTACTTTGGCTGGGGTGGAACTGGGAAGCAGGAGCTGAAAACCATAATGGTTTTCCACAACAGCTATATATGCATAGAATCACCAGAAGAACACTCCAAATATGTCAATGCTTAGGCCGTATCCCAGACCAATAAAATCAAGAGTCTGCAAGTATGACTTAGGGCACTGAAATCATATACATTTGGGCTTGAGCCCTGGTTACACTATTTAACAACAATGTCATTGGATAAGTTACTTAACATCTGTAAATTACAGTTTTACTTTGTTTTAAACATTCAAATGGGCATAGCAATGCCTACTTCATTGGGTTGTTGTGATGTTAAATGAGATAAGGTATGTAATATCTGATGTATAGGAAGCATGTGATAATAATAGCTAACATTTATTGAACCTTTCTATGTGCTAAGCACTTTTCATGAACTAAAACAACCATTATATTTTTAAACTTCATTTTGTCAGTGAAGGAACCAATGCATGGATGTGGATAAAATGAAAGTTCCTGTGGCCAGGATTCTCACCTGTCCTGGTTGACTAGCTCACTCCACATGTGTGGGCAATACTGCTATTGACTCTATATAAAGAGTTCCACCCAGTGGTCTGGGTGACACAGTGACAGGCCTACAAGGTTGCAAGAGAGCAGAGTAGAAGCTGGAGTTGTGGCAGTGCTGAGGACAGGCCCAGAGGATGGCTGTGTGGGACGACTGTGCAGGCAGAGAGGCCCAGAGGACAGCTGTGCAGGCAGAGGAGCCAAGAGGACAGCTGTGCAGGACAGCTGTGCAGGCAGAGGGGCCCAGAGGCAGAGATCAGCTTGCTGCATGCAGACTTGCTCTGAGTGAACGGGATTTTAGTGATTAACCTGCCACCATGGAAATAAGCTGGCTATAACCTCTTCCCCCAAAAAGCATTTTACTGTCATTTTCTTGGGTCACAGTTAATCCATAGCAAACTTCCACGGGGCTGAAACCCACTGGTAAGACAATGGAATAGTAAATATATTTATACAAAATAGTAAACAGCAGACCTAGAGTCCAGGACTTGTAACTATCCCACTACATACCTCAGTCAATAGCAGAAATTTTTATTTGCTATTAGTATTGAAGAATGACTATAGGACAACCCATAGCCAAATGAACACAGTTGATATTGGTTATGATATGAGTTTTGAGGTTTATGAGTTGCACTGGATTCTTTACTTGCAGGCTGTTTCATGTGAAACCTTTCAAAATCAAATCCCAATAAGGGATAAATAGCATTTTGTAGAGTTGTGCAATCTCTTTTGAGACAGGGAAATCAATTGGACTTTATAGAAGCACTAAGATTGTTGGGGAGGGAACATCAAGGTGTGCATAACTGTATTTAAGTTACTCTGGAATGTGAACTTCTGAGGGCAGGAACCACATCTTTGTATCAGTCACGTCAGCAAAACTGAGGCTCAGCTGCCTAATGGAGTTTGCACCATGTAAAGATGCCAAGTAGACCAAAATTTCTGATTTTTGCATTTCCTTTCACATTTTTTTCAACATCTACTGTAGTCTTAAAAATAGAAACATATGCCTCTGCCAGTGAGTCCTCCCATAGGATTCTAGATGAGAAACCTCTCAAGGAGAATAACAAAATGCAATTTGAACCAAAGTGTGTGAAGTTTCCCAGACACTCCCAGCCAGAGCCACTAGGAAGCAAGCATCTGGGAAGGTGCTGACAGCCCAGCAGCAATGAGCCCACAGGTTGGGCTGCTGGGACGGCTGTGCTGTCACTCTCCACTTACCAGACTTCTCCCTCCTCTCTGCTTTCCACAAAGGGTTTACCTACTTGAGGGTTTGTCCTAAATGAAAAGAGGCTTTGGAGATGGCTTCAACAGAACAGTTCCTTACTCAAAGTTCAGCCCATTTGTCCAGTGGCTTTGGCTTTGGACCAAAGTCTTTGTCCTCTGAGTAGAGCGGGAGTGTGAATGATCCACATGATTGGAAGTAAAGATACAATAAAAAGTTGTGAGGCTTTCTCACTTCTGTGATGTTTGGTTTCCCTCACGCTCTACCTTTATGCTTCCAGCTTCTGCTCTCCAGGAAGGAGACCGCCTCAATGACGTTCGTTATTTACCTCCGTCTGAGGCAGGAGTTTAATAGCAGGGCAAAGGGTGAAGGTTACATTGATAAAATGGTGGAGGTTATTTTTTAGCACTCTTGGTATCACAGTATATGAGCAGCCCTGATGGAAAGTCAATGCAAACCATGTTTTCACTGCAATTTGCCTTTACTATATTCACACATAGCAAGAGGTTCTGCTGATGGAACTCATTATTTTGATATTTAGTTATACGTATTAACATAAAATAAAATGCTACTCACTTAATGACATTTAAACCCTTAATAACCTAATCCTGGACTATTTTCCAAGTGTATTTACTGCTACACCCTGTGATTCAGCCAATTCCTCAGCTGTTTAT